ACCCCTGGTCAAAAGTGAAGTCCACACCTAGAATCCTCCCCTCCATCTCCAGGATTCCTTAGGGGTCAGGGTGTGGAGAGAGCATTGACTCTCAGGTCAAAATGACTCACCTGGGCTCAACATGAGCTCTTCCACTTACCAGCAATTAAGTCAATTAATGCCCCCGAGCCTCAGTTTACCCATCTGTAAAATGGAGACCAGACATCTATCCTATAACAACTGTGTATCTGCGGCCAGGGTCCATGCAGGGCACTGCACACATGGTGGCGAATAGAAGAGACGGGGGTGGGGGGACCCTAACCTTTCAGGTTTAGACGTACTCTGCATGAACCTGCTGATTGTGTTTATTGCATAATTATCATTTAGCAAATGAAAGATATTACCATCATTTCCTTCTATTTATTTGCCTAGTCTTGATCCAGAAATCTTCCTTAGCTGCTTGATTTTCCATCTTGTACTCTGTGTGTCTTCTCTCCCTAAATGGGCCATAAAGTCCTTTCAGACAGGGATTAAGATATTTATGTCATATTCTCCAGAGCACCTAGCCCAATGTCTGGCTCACTGTACTCACTAAAAAGGGACTGAAAGGTATTGGGTACTTCTGTGTATGAAATAAAATCTGAAATAGTTCTCAAGTCTCTCTAGTCAGGGTAACTAAGACTGATCTCACGGGGCACTGGTAAAGGATTTTCGCATCCTGGAAATGCCAAGAAAGCATTTTCTAGGCTGTTGCCATTCCCACTGAGAACTGTAATCATAGCAAGGCCGAAACCGCAACTCACACGCCTGTGAGTCTATCCCATGGGCACCTCACAAAGAGCATTTTACTGAAATTGGTCCTAGTGACTAGGTAAGTTCAGTCATGTCAGTGAGTTGTGAAGAACTAAGTATCTTTATTCCTAAATGCAAAACAAGATTGATCCAAAACTCAACAGAAAAAAACGCTAAGAAACAAAGAGTTCACAGAAAGCCATAAAGTGGGTGAGATGATGCTTGGCTTCAGTTCTCAAATACACAAATATCAGTGCACTGGCTACTGTGAGAATTTCTGATAACACTTTATTTCTGGCTCCTTATTATGCAGATTCAGTGTCTGGAATTCTAGCTAGTTCCTGGGAGGTCAGAAAAGTAGCACTTGGGGCCGGCAGATGGCATGGAGGTTAGGTCAGCTGGATCCCATATGGCCAACTGCTTCCGTTAAGAGTCCTGGACTCGGCGGCTTGAAAAACATGCTGGGCACGTGTGCATGCCAAAATCCCGAGAGTGAAGAAGGGATGGCAGAGGGGTCATCCCTCTAAAGGGTGATTTCTCATTTTCTTTCTCTGTCTTTCTCTCTCTCTCCAGCAAGTGCACACACCATATAGCAAATCAAAAAATAAATAAAAAATAAAAATAAAAAAAAACCCAGCACCTGCAATAAAACCATTTACTGAGGCCCAATTCCCTTTTACCACCCCTCAGAGTCAAAGAGAATGGATGGATTCAAAGTCACACACAATTTGACACCAAAGGAGGTTCTGCACTAGAAGCGTTTTTCTTCTTTTTAATTAAAAATTTATTTTTACTAGTTATTTTGCTTTGAAAATGATTACTGTCAGTATTTCCTCACAGGCTACTTTTTTCTGTATGGATTTTATTTAAGAATCACTTAGGGGCATGGTGACGCCTGTCCTATGGCAAGAATCATTTAATTTTATTTATTATTATTTTAATTTGCTATAAGGCACGTGTACTCATCAGACACAGAGAAGAAGAGAGAAAATGAGATAGCAAGTCGCCAGGTCCAAGACTTATGGTGGTTGGCCATGTGGTAGTCCAGGACCTTAACCACTTTGTCAAAATTACTAGAAGCGTTTTTCATCTACAAGTTGTTCACGCTGAATAAACTCTTAGCTCTGTCCATGGCTGACTTACTGCAGGGATTCCTGCTTTAATCAACACATTTTTCTCAGGGATTTTTCTTGTAAGAATTATAGAAAGGTTCTTTACTTGCTTATGGACAAGACAATCTTCTTTTTTAAAAAGATTATTTAATTTTATTTATTATCATTATGTTTAAATTTGACCAGAGACAGACAGAGAAAGAGGAAAAAAAAGAGAGAAACCAAGTTGCCAGATCCAGGACTTGAACCACAGTTGGCCATGTGAGAGTCAATGCCTTAACCACTATGCCACCTGCTGGCCCCAAGACAGCCTTCTAATGTGCAACCCAAGATCTCAGGAAGGATTATGTGGAATGAGCATCTCCAGGCCAACAGTAGGTACAGCACCTTGTCTGAAACCCCAAAGGGTAAACACCAGACAGTGCCATGGTTTTGAACCCAGTGGAGGTATTCCTGTGAAAGGTTACATACTCCTGAGTTACTCAGCTCCTTTCCATGACTCTCATCCCATTTAGAACTAGCTGTCTAATTTCTGTCTTTTGACTTAGCCCCAGGAATTTTCAAAGACAGTTACTGCCTCTGACTTGTGCAAGGCCTGGCTCCCCCAGTAGACAGCCAATGAGCTGGGTTGTCTTGGTTGCTGCTCATCCTGTGCCTAGCACAAGGGCAGTATCTGGCATTTCAAAGGGGCTGCATGTTTTAATGGGTCGGTGACAGATCTAACCAATTACATCAGCTCTATTTGATTGTATGCATTAAATAACTCAGTTTAGACCAAGAGGAGGGCCATGGCATTATATAATATAATTAAGTAATCCAAATCCTTATGTTTACCATAGAAAATAACTTCCTGCTTTGTTATTTATAAAATGATTTCTTTCTGTCTGTCAGTGTACACTGTTGTCCACAAAAATGGCTGTGCTAGTCTGTTCTCCTGTTGGTAACAACTGAACACCATACTGGGTAGTTCATAAAGAATAAAGGCATATATAGCTCACGGTTTTGGAGGTCCAACCAAAGGGCTGTATCTGGTGAGGGTCTTCTTGCTGGTGGGGGCTCTCTGTAGAGTCCTCAGGCAGCAAAGGACAACAAGCTCATCTGGGCCATTCTGCTCGCCTAGGTTTCTGGGCCTGTGATGGGAGGGGCAACTCTGAAGATCTCTGAAGTGCCCTTGGAGACTTTCCCCCATTACGTCGAACAACTCTGCTACTTGCTTTTATTCCATGCTCCCTTTATGTAGGCTTACCTCTTTAGCAAGCAGTTGCTTGGCCACAGTCTTAGTAATCTCTGCAAAACACAGTCAGGCTGTGAATTTTCCAAAAATTTCCTTTCTCCTTCCCTTTTAATGATCAGTTCTATCTTTAAGTCATCTGTTGTTCTTTCATGTACTGCAAGCAGTTCAAGGTAACAGTAAAGCTCCTTCTACATTCTGCTTAGAGACTTCATTTGCCAAGAACTCATCAGTCTTCAATTTGGCATTCCACACAGCCCTAGGACATGGATACAGACACAGGCTCTGTGCTTGTTCTGTCTTGCCATATTACCCAGCAGCTAGAAGACCCTAACCAGATGTGACCCCTGGACCTTAGACCTCTAAAACCACAGGCTAAATATACCTCTATTGTTTATTAGTCACCTAGATTCAGGTGTTTGTTATTAGCAATACAGCAGATCAATCCAGTAGCCTTGTTTGTATGTAGCCTAAATACTCTAAAGGGAAGAGCTGATGTCCTACAGCACATAATTCACCCTTCCCAGAAACATCCCTTATTCTATCTTCACTTCAAATCCCCACCATCATTTCTGTTGTGTGTTTTCTAGTCATTTCCTGTATATTTTACACAGATATACCTTTTACTCTCCCTGAACTCCTAAGTTCTTCCAAATAGAATTTCCTATCTCCTAAAGTTATTCATAGAGCAGGCAAACAATGAATTCCTAAGGAATTGATCCGTTTATTCTGCATTCCAACTCACCTTCCAGATAGAAGCTGCGAAATGTCAACTTTTTGCAGTGCTGAGAGGCTGAATGACCTATAACCCCATTTTTTTCCTGGACATTTCTGATGAAGTAAATGATAAATACAATAATATAAGAAAATTGTTTTATTCCTAATTTTTAGTTTCCATACAGTTTACAAAGACATTTTTACTCTGATAATACAGCTTTGCAACTAGCAAAGCAGTTGAACTAACACCCATAAATATAGGTGGGGAGACACATCCACTAATGTTCTTCTACATAAACTATTCTTTTAATGTCATTTTTAAAAAACAATTGCAAATAGACTACATAATATACGTGGGCAAAAAGGCAATTAAGTGACTCTCTTGAAACACTAAATGTATAATAAACAGCATATTATCAACATTTACATGATTCACATCAAAATGATGACATCCTAAAACGTATTCCTTTTAAAGGATAGATTTATCAATAAAATATTACATATCTTTTAATACTCTGGTACAATACTTCTTCATATACTGCAGAAAAATTAAATGTAGGACTAGTTTTTCAGCTTAATAAAGGATCCTTTTTCCATTAGCTTTTATTAATAAAAGAATCACAATTAGGTCATAAATAGGCAAATTATTAACTACATGATTTGAGGTTTAGGATGAAAACTTGTAAAAATTAGTTCGATATACAGCAAAGTTATACAACACACTAAAACCAACTGTTTAATATTTTTGCCTTGTGTGAACTGCCCGTAGTGAGAAAAGAACAAACTTTTTAGTGATGGAAGATACAACAGACTGTATTTTGGAACTTATTTTTTAAAAGCAAGAAGGAAAAAGATTTCAACAGAATAAAGGGCTAATACAGATCCTAATAAAGGCATCTTGCAATCAGGGAGGCCATGTGCTTTGCTATAGAAAACTTCACTCCCCCAAAGACAGAGAGAAAACAAAAACTGCACTGGGTTTATATTTAGGCCTACAGTCTAGGTTTCCCGTATGGATTACTAATCTACAACAAAACACTTCACAACTGCAAAGCTTTCCACATTCTCTGAACTAGAAATACCCCAAGATGTTACAGTATGTTCTTAAAATCCCTAGTAAAATAACCCCCCAAAATGATCTTGACCATTTCTTGGCTGTTCTAAAACAACTGGGTGCTGTAAAGAATACAGACACCAAGAAAGTCCTACGTCTGTTTTCTCATCCCCATGCAGCCACATGTGAAAGTCAACAATTTCCATGGGAGAGAGAACCGTATTTTATAGAGGGCCATACACTGGACATGAGGTGCCTTTTTATTTAAAAAAAATAATAATAATAAAACTCTGAAAAATTGTTTTAAACCCCAGTACCATGTGCCAGATAATTTCTTCATTCTAATATAAAATCCTACATGTATAATTTTAAAATACCCAGCCAGCTATGGGATATTGTGCATATTTAATGTCTACCAGCAATTCAGAACTTACACGCATCTATCTACTTCCCAGGTAGCCCGATTCATTCACCTGTTACTGACTGCTCTGGCTCCTGGCCTGTGACTTCCTCAGAAACCACCTCTTGGGAACATTCATTTCCACTTTTAAAATTCCCTCCTTGAGCTTCCCCCATCTCCCCCGCCCCTCTGCCTGATTCCAGCCCTTGTACAATAACCTCATCTGAGAACCTGCGATCACTTTTACCAAACACACAAACCTTCCCAACCTAGGGACTATATCAATCTCTCGGCTTTTTGTTTTGTTTTGTTTTTACATAGCAACATAATAGTTTGCTGACTTTGTGGAGGGAAATATGAATGAAATCAATGTCTTGTAAACAAATAAAGCAGCCAAGATCAGGTATTTCTGTTCCAAGTGCAAAAACAACTGATCTTCAGCCACGGATGGAGACATGAATGTAGCAGATCCACTTGTACAATCAAACCCCTGTATGCTGGTGAAATACTTGGCCCTCAGAGTCTAGAGTCAAAACATTACCACAAAATCAAAGCAAAATGGAGAAAGATTCAATGTGACAATGTGATCAAAAGAACAGGATTCAAGATCCTCATTGCAAATACTGAACTGGAATCTCTTCACAGATCTGACAAGGCAGTAGTCATTACAAGTCTAACAAGGGAATCCTTCAGGCCACACCTGTGTTCTGAAGCCAATCTAAGTTCCATGGATAGTCGGGTAGTGGTGTGGGGAGGTCTATATACATTTTGTCTGTGAAAATGGCAGCTACTGTGCTCCCCAAACTATCTCAGGGTTTCAAGGGAATAAGAGACCTTAGGAAGGAACTACACCCTGGGCTAGGTCTATTCCTTCCTTTCAAGTGCCAATGTAAGAAGAATCTGAATAAGGAGACCATGGTAGCATGGCAAAGCTGCCACAGTGTATCACCATTACAAAAGCCTACCAATGATGCTGTGATCGAAACACACTCACTGGAGGATGATTCAACACACGAGGCAAAGAGGGATGTCTTTGGAGAAGGCACTTAAGGCAGAACATTAGCAAATCTTAATGCTTGGCTAAAACAAAAATGAGCTAATTCAATCCCATTGGAAACTTCCTTAGAAAAGCCCCTTCTCACTGTAGTCTGACTGTGTGTGCATGCGAGTGAAGCCCTATCGAGAACCAGTGGCATTATGAAAGCAGCACGTTCGCCAGAGTCTACAGGGCACCTCAATGACGGGGGGGTTCTGCTTTCAGATGGTCTGTCCCCCTAAATACATCCATCCTTTTGAGACCAGTTTTCTCAAGTGATGGGTCAGAAAACAGGCTCAGAGTGGGCAGAACTGCTTCAGGAAGTTTCTTGAAAGCTCTCTGTATTTCTCAATCTGACTTTCAGCTTAAACCGCTATGATAAGCAGCTGCAGTTTCCCCAGGTCATTTGCAGCTTCTACTTTTACTAACTATAGTTGGTTTTTCACGGCACCAGTTGTGACAGTCTGTTAGACTGGTGGCTCCCAGTGAATGGCACCTCCATGTCACACCCTCTTCTTGAATCGGGGCTGGGGCTGTGACTTGTTTAATTTAATAGAGGCCAAGAGAAGGGATGCTGCCACACTTCTGGGCTTAAGTCTTAAGAAGGTCTGGTCACTTCTGCTTTCGAGCTCTTGGGAGCTCCGAGCTGCCATGTAAAAGGCCTAGCTATTCTGCTGGTGAGGCCACTCGGTGGGACCACACGGAGAAGGAAAGACCTGGAGGACTATGTGCAGAGGGAAGCCAGCTAGCCCAGTGTCTCAGCCAACCTGCTGACCACGTGAGTGCTCGCCCATGAGGCCAGCAGAACAGCTCAACTGAGCCCAGCTCAGATTCCACAACGGGGAGGGCAAGGAATGAGGTATTGTTTCAGGCCACAAAGTTTTGGGATAGTTTGTCAGTGACATCGGATAACCAAAGAGCTGGTCATCCACAGATGCCTTTTATTCTAAATACAAGACAATTACTCATATGCAAAGAAAATATGGCAACCATTTTCCCACCACAACGTCTTCGGTCAACAGCTGAATGGTAATTGGTCACATGCTAAGAAGAAAACACACCTCTTATCCTAATTCCTACGTGTCCATGATTTTTCCCCCATGACTTTCTAATGCCAATGCAAAGGAAGACAGGCAACTTCTGACAGTCTCAGGCACTGGCTTCAATACCATTAAGCCCTCAGAAATAAGCCATCGAAATGAAATATCCACTACTGGTTACACTTTGGTAAATGAGATTGTTCTCACTCTTCCAGGATGTTGTTACTTAATTTTCCCAAATCATTTCTTACAAGTGCCCCATCATCTTCCATAAAAACGGGGAAAATTAAATTAAGGTTATAAAACCAAAAAAAAAAAAAATCCCCATCCTATCTATATTTGAATCCCTATAATCTGTAAAATATAGAGCACAATTTAACTGCTTCTTCAATTTAAAACAAAATTCTATAAAATACAGCATTGTCTACACTGTAGAGATGATTTCTTCTTATCTGAGGAAATGAGTTACTGGAAATAAGGTACTGTTGAGTTGGAATACAGTGGTCTTTAAATGGTTTCAAATTTTGCTTATCAAAAGGTAGTCAACCACAACGCAAGCCTTCCAAATCCAAATTCACTCTTCACAAAAACTTTCTTGTGTCTGTTCTTATTCTTTTTAGGGAGAAGGTCAAAGTCCACATCTGGGGAAAAAAATAAATCAGAACTTTTAAGGAACATACAACTAAAGCTTGACAAAGCATTAAGCTACTTTAAAGTAGATTTAAAACTTTTAAATATACTACCCATTGAAATGGGAATTTCGACCTGAAACACTGATTCTTATAAAATTCTAACTTTCTTTTATTAATTGCCAGAGGTCCTATGCACTGTTAGAGACAGAAGAAAGAGGAAAGGAAGAGAAGGAAGAGAAGGAAGAGAAGGAAGGCAGGCAGGCAGGCAGGCAGGCAAGCAAGCAAGCAGGCAAGCCCCTTCCAATGGGATGTGGTCACACCACAATCTCTTCACTATTTCTCCATCCTTTCAGGACTCTGGGCCCTGTGCATGCCCAGTGTGTTTTTCAAGCTGCAAGGGCCGGGATTCGAAGTAGGATGGCCTGAGGGATGTGGCTCTCTTATCCACTAGACTATGGAACAGGCCCAAGTTTCTAACTTATTAAAACCAACACGAGGGGCTGGACGGTGGCACTGTGGTCAACACGATGCTCTGCAAGGCTGACTAGATGAGAAAGTTGCCGACTCACATTCAGAGACCGGCTTGATTACATCAGGTGCATGTGCCCACAATCTGGGTTGGTTACCGCTGCTGCAGAGATCACAGTGCAAGACCCTGCTGGGGTGCTATATTTCTGTCTTTATGACTCACTCATGAACTGAATAAATACATACACACATCACAAACCTGGGTCACACTCTAACAAGGGACATGAAAGGAGTGGACATACGAGAGATGGACATGCAGCAGAGTTGGGAGGGGTGTGGAATTGGCCCTGTCAAGAGTCCGAGGTGACCAGCACCCCGTGTGACAGCTGGCCAGAGGCCGACCTCATTGATCACTCTGGAATCCTGACTCTCATTCATCCATGCTGTGGTGTGTCCCAGTGCTTCCCAGATCCCTACAGATCATCACCAGCACAGGTTGGGGCAACCCACGCTCGTAAAAATTGCTGGAACGGGGATCCCCACTCTTCACCACCAATATCAACTGCTTCCCTGGAGGTAAGTGCCAGTCTTAGCCCTTGCAGAATTAATTCTATATTTCATTTTAATTCTTAATGAACTAATAAATCCAGCTTGGCAAAAGCAATATAGGGAGGAGGAAAAAACAATTATGGCACACATTGCTCGAACACTCACAAATTATTTGTCTGCTTAAAAATGCCCCAAATTGGGAACCAGCAGTTAGCGTAATGGCTATGTTGCTGGACTCCCACGTATTCGACTGTGGTTCACGTCCCGGACCCGGTGGCTTAAAACTCACGCCAGGCACGTGTGCAGGCGTGCCCAAGATCCCGAGAGGAGAATGGAGGAGAAGGGATTGCAGCGTGACCATTTCCCCTGGGGGGATGATTTCTCGCTTTCTGTCTGTATGTCTCTGTCTGTTTGGCGAGCGCACGCGCCCTATAGCGAAAATCTCTCCCCCTCCCCCCAAAAAAGCCACAAATTGGCCAGCCACAATGGCACATCAGTAATGTAACACTCCATGATTTTGAGGCCATATGGGAAGACCCCAGGTTCACATCCTGGAACCTCCTGGTGCATGCTGGGTAGGCAGAGATAGTGTGCCTACTGGCTGGCTGGCTGAGGCTAGGGGTGGCACTGTACCCACTGGGGTGGCCTACTACCCTGTCTCTCTCTATCATGGAGGAGATAAACAAAAAATACCATGGGCCTGCCCTGTGGCCTAGTGGTTAAGGAAGTTGGATCCCATGTGGCCAACTGTGCGGTTTGAATCCCAGCTCCAGCAGCTTGAAAAATACGCCAGGTACACGGGTATGCATGCCCCAAATCCCAACAAGATGGAGAAATGGAGGGAAAGGGGTTGCCTTGCGACCATGTCCCCTTTCTCTGTCTGTGGCGAGTGTACACACCCTCTAGCAATGAAAAGAAATGTCACAAATTTCATGAACAATGAGCCAACAGAGCACTTTCTTTAAATACCTATTCTGTGCTGACATTCCGGCAGGTCTTCTCATCTGAAACTTTTCTGCTGTTGCATCAGGCCCACGTTTTCATAGACTCTAGCATTATCTTCTCTCATTCTGAAGAGACATAAGGAAGGAGACATTTACAAAAACACAGCCCATGTGTCCAAGCTTACAAGGCATTCCTCAAGCACGTACTGCGTTCCTTGGGAACCAGATACGGTGCAGGCCCAGTTCCTAGCCCCCGAGGCCGACAGTCTTGGAAAGGACATGAGACCTATGCATGTAGCAGTGTAACTTAGGTGGAGGCCCAGTGATGTAACTACCATTCCATCTACTGGCCCTTATTATTCTTCAATTTGACCAGAAAGAGACGGAGAGTGAGAAAGCAAGTCGCCAGGTCTAGGACTCAAACTACCATGTTGGGTCAGCCATGTGGAAGTCCAGCGCCTTAACCACCATGCCACCTGCTGGTCCCTCCTTGTTTTTCCTTTTTAACAACCCTTTAAAACCATTCATGGGCTACAGAAAACAGGTGATGGCCCAGATTAGACTGTGGGCTGTCGTGTGCTGACTCCTGGTTTAAACCCCTAAATATCCCTAAAGGAGATTTCTATTGACTGGTGAGAAGCTAGCAGATCACGGCTGTGCTGACACATTCACAGTCAATTTATTGACATCTGTTTAGCAAAGAACCAGAACACATCATAGGGAAACTTACTACCTTCCTCTGCAACCTCACCCCATCCAAAGAAAGGTTCAATTCTTTGGAGAACCACTGCTAGAAGAACCACTGCCTGATACACTACACCCCACACAACCCTCCTGGCACATCAGCCTTCAGTTCAGGGAAGCAGCATCTGGTTTAGGTGCAGACACACATGCCTAGGACCTGTCGGTCAATGGCAACAGTAACACGTCAGCAGAGTGCAGGCACTATGAAGACTTGTGTTTTTATGGGTTTAAAGCCTTTTAGAGAACAACATTCGGGTATAAAGCATTTCTTTCGTCTCTACTTACTCCGCACAGGGTGGCGTTGGGGTGCAAGGCGGGAGGGGGCTCTGATCTCCGCTTGTCTGGTCCGTTAGGGAATACTTAATATTGGTATATTCGTGCCCTTTCCTCTTGCTCTTCTGAAAAGTGGAAGAGTGCACATGTGAGGGACCACAACTTTGTTAAGGAATAAAGAAACAAAACAAGGTATTTCACCTCCCCTCCCCAAAGAAAAGAGGTCAGGTGGGAGATACGTTATCACCGAGTTCTTGTTTTTAGGTTCTTGCCATAGAGCACGTGAGCTTGTTAGAGAGAGAGAGAGAGAGAGAGAGAGAGAGGGGAAGTAAGAAATCACCCGCAAGGGGGGGGGCCATGCTGCAATCCCTTCTCTTCCCTTCTCCTCCTGGGATTCTGGGCACACATGCACACACGCCTGGAGTGACTTTCAAGCTGCTGGGTCTGGACTCGAACTGTGGTCGGCCATGTGTTAGTCCCCATGCCTCCTGCTGGGCCCATCCTTGCGAATATTGATAGACCAAGCACATAGTCAGGGAGTTCAGCTTGTCATTATAAATACACCATGCGGTGAAAGCAGTCTGAATTCTCACCCCTGGAGAGACCCTAGCACCTCTAAAACTTAATTTTTGGCTCTAATGATACCCTGGGGGAAAAGAGCAGAGAAAACCATAGGAATGTAATCTCATCTCAGATGCAAAGTGACCAATAGGTGGCAGCACTCCTGGTTAGATGACCGGTTACCATTTTCTACTCCTAAACTCATCAACAAACAGATAGCGTAACGGTTATGTCACTGGACTCTCATGCGGTTGCGGTTCAAGTCCCAGACTCGGCAGCCAGGAACTCACCAGGCACACGGTGTGTGTGCCCAAGATCCCAAGAGGAGAAGGGATTGTGGCGTGGAGGCGTGGCCATCCCTCCTAGGAAGTGATTTCTCGCTTTGTCTCTGTCTCTCCAGCGGACACCTGTACCCTATAGCAAAAATCTCTCTAAAAACAAATAAATAATAAAAAAAAATTTTAAGTCAAATCCATCAAATGAGCGTCATTAGATAATGCTGCCTTCCTTACAGGATTGCACAAACCAGCAGGAGCAGGAAGGGGCAGCCACATCGAATGCTGACGGACCTGTGGGAATTAGACAGTGGAAGTAGTACTAAGTTCATAGTTAGTAAACATGCCAATATTGTACAACCTACATCCCAAGAAACCCTTGCACATAATCCTAAATGAACCGACGAGGAGCACCTGAGACATGCGGTTCTTAGTAACGTCTGTCCACAGAACCAAGAATGTGATATGCTTGTGTGTGAAACAAGAACGACTGTGAAGAGCAGAAAAACTGTGTGCGTGGACTGGAGTGTTTCCCAGATTTCACGAGCGACGGCAAGTAGGAAACACGAGCTACAGAACGATGAAACAGGCGGATACCATCTGGGTAGCACTGTAAGCCTATAAAACAATGCTGGCTGTTGTTTATAGAGTTGTATTTGTATTTAAAATATAAACAGAGGTGCAGTCTCTGTGGTGCAGTTGGTGCCATCCTGACCTGCAGTGCTAGAAGTCACGTGGTCAATCAAAGGTTTGGATTCCTAGTCCTTTCTCTCTCTCTCTCCCAGCCCCACTGTGCACGTGCACATGTTACCATGAATACACTTTAAAAATAAACCAATGGGGCCGGCAGCTGGTGTGGTGGTCAATGGCGCTGGACCTCCACATGGCCGACTGCGGTTAGAGTCCTGGACCTGGCGGCTTGCTTCCTCGCTTTCCCTTTCCCTCCCTCTCTCTGTCTCTCTTTGATCAAATTAAAATATAATAACAACAAATGGAATTAAATAAAACAAATAAATATTTTAAAAGATATAAACCAAGAAACAAATAAAATACAAAGAGAGACTGTATAATTAGTGAGTGCTCTGGGGAATCCAGGGGAGAGAAGAGGGACAGATCTGCAGCTGGAGGTCAAAGGGAATCCCAGCACTACCTGGTATGTTTGGTTTCTTGTTTTTTTTTTTTTAAGATAAAAACTTTTTCTTAAAATTAATTAGTTTATTTATTTATTTAAAGTGACCAGAAAGGGAGAGAGTAGGGGAGAGAGAGAGAGAGAGAGAAATCAACCCCCAGGGGGGATGGCCACACTGCAATCTGTTCTCCTCCAGTCTCTTCTCAGGATTTTGGGCACATAAACACATGTGCTCAGACTTTCTTTCAAGCTGCTGGGCCCAGGACTTGAACTGTGCAGTGAGCCACATGGGATCCAACTGCCTTAACCACCACACCACTAGCCGAGTCATTATTTTAAAACTTAAACAGCGTACGCATTTTAAAAACAAACATTTCAAATATATAGTAAATAAAAACTGCAGAGTCAAGTTACTTTTTTACTTAATACATTTAAAAAATATTATGGTAAAAACACATGAGATCTACCCTCATAACAAAGTTTAAATGTGCACTATAATATTACGTATAAGCACATGGCTGGGCAGATCCATAGAACATCTTCGTCTTGTATTAGAAAAACTCTATATCCACTGAAAAATAACTCATTTTCCCCTCCCTAGGCAATACTTTCTTTAAAATCAAAATCAATATTTCTTTTTTTTTGGAGAGGTTTTTGCTATAAGGAATGTGCGCTCGCCAGAAAGACAGAGAGACAGAGAGACAGAAAGCAAGAAATCAACCCTGGGGGGATGGCAACGCTGCAATCCCTTCTCCTCCATTCTCCTCTCAGGATCTTGGGCACGCAAGCACACGCGCCCTGCGTGAGTTTTAAGCCACTGGGTCTGGGACATGAACCGCGGTCAACTACATGGGAGTTTAGCGACATAACCATTACGCTAACTGCTGGCCCCAGAATCAATATTTCTATATGAAGTGATTATAAAGGAATTTTCTAATGAGGAATAATGAATACAAATGGGATAGAAATTATTTCACTGGCTCGAAGTAGCCCAAGAAAAAAACATAAAAATGTCAGAGCTTTTTAGCTTACTTAGGAAGAACCAGAAATAAAACGGATTCACAAATCAAATGAAGTCATCTCTCAGGACGGTAACAGCCCAGGCTGTGTGATGAGGAAAAGTTCTCAGGGGATAGAAGCTGTTTGTTTTTGAGGGAGTGGGGGTAATACATTTTTGAGACCTAATCTCAAATTGATTCTCACCCAAATTCAATGACATAGCATGATTACCAAGCCTTCTGCGATGCTGTACAGCCCTGCTAACTGAGACACAGCCAAGGATGAAAGGCGGGGCTGTCCACGCAGCTCCAAAGGCACCTCATCATCTCATACGAAATAGCACTTTCTCTCTGTCAAGCGCACGCACCCTACAGCAAAAAATATTACTAAAAGAGGATAAAGTCTTTAATATGGCCTATGTTAAAAATCTGGTCTCTGCTTACTTTTTTTTTTTTTTTTTAAGGTTTTTGCCACACAGCTCACCAGAAAAAGACAGAGAGGGAAAGTGGGAAACCACGCCCCCAGGAATGGTCACCCCGAAATCCCTTCTCCTTTATTCTCCTCTGGTAATTTTGGACACACATGCTCACACATGTACACACACCTGGTGTGATTTCCAAGCCGCCAGGTCCAGGACTTGAACTGTGGTCAGATATGTGGGAGTTCAGTGCCACCATGCCACCTGCTGGCCCCTTTACTTACTTTTTTTTTAAAGAGAGATTTTTTTGCTATAGGATGCATGTGCTCACAGACAGACAGAAATAGAGAAAGCAAGAAATCACCTCCAAGCGGGGATGACCACACCACAACCCCTTCTCCTCTTGAGATTTTGGGCATGCATGCACATGCACCCCGTGTATGCTAAGCTGCTGGGTCCAAGACTTGAACCATGGTCGACCATGTGGGAATCCAGCAACATAACCATTACGCCATCTGCTGGTCCCCCTCTGCTTACTTTTTAAATCCCACCCATCACACTCAACAGTCCCCGACTCCCTCTCCTGCTCCACCCACACTGGATTTATTTCCATTTCAGGAGCCTGACTACTTATACTCGGGTATCCAGCACAAGGCCTGGGACACGGCACAACCCACTTTAATCAATGCAAGAATGAATGAACAAACGTGAAAACACTTGCCAATGGAACACGGGCATCAAAGAAATGCTATGTTATCCCCCAAATTCACATGCTGAGATCTGGCTGTGAAGGTAGGAAGGGAAGAGGTTAAGAGGAAACTGAATACTTTCATGGGGTCACAAGGCGGGACCTTGGGGAGTGATTAAATGATTAGAGCAGGGCCCTTACAACTGACGCCTGGTGGCTCTACAAGGAGAGGGAAGGAGAACAGGAGATAAGTGGGTGGAACGACACTCCTGTTGGCTGATATAGTGGTGCTCTCCCTGCACGCCCTCATACTCCACCAACGAGAAAACCCTTACCAGATGTGGCCCCTGGACCTTGGGCCTCCAAACTGAAACTGAATAACCTCCATTCTCTTGTCTTTTTGGTTTTTTTTGTTTGTTTGTTTTGCTTTGCTATAGGGCACATGTGCTTGCCAGAGAGGGACAGAGAGAAAATGAGAACTCACCCCCTCCACCAAGGAAGAGGGCCACACTGCAATTCCTTCTCCTTCATTCTCCTTTCAGGATTTTTGGGCACGCATACATACACACCTGACAAAGTTTTCAAACTGCCAGGTACAGGACTCAAACCGTGCAGTTGGCTATGTGGGATCCAGCCACCTTAATCACCATGCCACAGGCTAGCCCCTCTGTTCTCTTAAATTACTGAGCTGCAGGTATTTTCTGTTAATAGCAATGGAAGGGACTAAAACAGGAAGCTATGTGAAGAAGTACAAGTCTAGGGAAACAAAATAGGGCACATGGGGCATGGTCTCATGGCAGCTCAGAGTTTATGTGTGTGAACCTGGAGTTCCACAAGGCAACAGCCACACCCTGTCCCAGTTATATCCCGGCATCAATTCAGTGTCCAGAACATGAAAACTATTCAAACACTTCTTTTTTAAATTTTTTTATTTAATCTTATTTATTATTTTTTTTGGGGGGAGAGGTTTTTGCTATAGGGCATGTGTGCTCGCCAGACAGACAGAGACAGACAGAGAGACAGAAAGCGAGAAATCACCCCCCGGGGGGATGTCCACACCACAATCCCTTCTCCTCCATTCTCCTCTCAGTATCTTGGGCACGCACGCATACACGCCCTTAAGCCACCGGGTCCAGGACTCGAACCGCGGTCGACTACGTGGGAGTCCAGCGACATAGCCATTACGCTAACTGCTGGTCCCTATTCAAACATTTCTTTAAAAAATAACACCAAAGAAAAAGGACATGTTTAATGAAATAGAAGCAGTTGAATGTTAACCGCCTCACCAGGCGGTTTAAGTTGCAACAATTGAAGTTTGGCCTGTGCTGTGGCATTTCTATCTGGCTCTGCTGTCGTCACAGAATTTTTTTTTTTTTTGAGAGATTTTCACTGTAGGGCGCGTGCGCTCGCCAGACAGACAGAGAGAGACATAGAGACAGAAAGCGAGAAATCACCCCCCAGAGGGGATGGTCACACCGCAATCCCTTCTCCTCCATTCTCCTCTCGGGATCTTGGCACGCACGCACACGCGCCCGGCGTGAGTTTTAAGCCACCGGGTCCGGGACACGAACCGCAGTCGACTATGTGGGAGTCCAGCGACATAGCCATTACGCTAACTGCTGGCTCTCTCGTCACAGAATTTTTAAAAGTAACTTCTGTCCTATAGTATTATTGACTCAAGAGAATACTGCTCACGGCTCTACCCTGGAGCTTAAAGGACATTCCCTATGGGGTATGTAATCATTTCCTTCCAAGAAGCGTTGCCTAGTTGGTAAATTCAATTTTCACAGGAGTACAGGTCAGCAATTCTGAAATAACTTTATATGTATACCAGGGTTGAACAAATGAGCAAGCAAGCTATAGTTCATGGGAGCCATGTTTCAACCTGTAGCAAAAGAAGTTGCAAATGAGCAAGAAGGAAGGCTAGAATGAACCCTGTGGTGCTGGATTAGAGTCAGTCATGGTAGCTTAATACATACACAGATGGACAGATACAGAAACAATTAGGGAAGGGCCAGCAAGTGACTGGTGGTTAAGGTGCTGAACGCCCACGTGGCCAATCACGGTTTGAATCCTGGACCTGGCGACTTGAAAATCATGCCAGGCACATGTGCATGTGAGCCCAAAATCCCAAGAGGAGGATGAAAGAGAAGGAATTGCAGTGTGGCCATTTACCCTGGGGAGTTGTTTCTCACTTTCCCTCTTGCTGTCTTTTTCTGGTGAGAGCACAGGCCCTATGGCACAAGAAAAAAAAAACATTATATATGGTAGTTCTCCTTATCTGTGGTTTTATTTTGTTGTGATTTCTGTCTGCTATTTTGAGACAGAGATACCTATCAGCAATGAGCACACCCAACAACCACATGTGGTTTCTAAACACCAGTTTCCAACAAGTGGAACCAGGGCATCACAGAAAAATGGCTAATTCTAAGGCTGGTCAGGAAAACTAAAATAAGAAGCTAGAATATCTTTCAGTGGCAGAAAGTAAAGAAGTGCTAAAAAAACAAAAGCAGAGTCAACCCGCAAACACTCCCAATGGCTAACGCTGCACCAATTTGAGCAACAAAATAAATAGTACAGTATTGGATTATTGCCCAAAGTATAAAGTAATATACATGGGTCTATACTGACATAAATAATTCAATAAATAAATAAGTGGGGAGAAGGAACAAATCTTCCTTACAAAAGGACTCTGAATAATTTATGTAGATACTACCCATTCCAGGAGTTGGAGCTTAATTCCCCTTCCCTGGGGTACGGTCTGCACTGAATGACAAGCCTCCACAGAACAGAACAGGAAAAGAAAGAATAACTGCACAGTGAAAGAGATCTGGCAAGCACCACCTAACCCCCGCGATCCAGGTTAACATCACCAAGCCATGTTGACACTCTGAGTGATGAGAACACAATACATACACCTCTAGGGTATCCTTCCCCCAAATCTACTACCCCCGTCTAATTGTGAGAAAGATTCACACAGATCCAAACTGAGGGATACCGTACAAGATCCCTGACCAGTACCCATGGAAATCATCAAGGTCATGAAAAACACGAACAGACTAAGGAACTATCACAGATGAGGGGTGACTAAACTCCATGTGGGATCCTGAACCGAGTCCTACAACAGAAAGAGAATATTCATGGGAAAAGCATTGAAATCCAAACAAACGCTAGAGCTTAGTTAATAGTAAAGTATCAATATTCACTTTCTTTTATTTTTTTTGAGAGAGATTTTTGCTATAAAGTGCAGACGCTTGCCAGAGAGACAAAAAATGAGAAATCACCGTTGGGTGGATGCCACATCGCAATCCTTTCTCCTCCAGGAATTTTGGGCATGCATGTACACGCATCTGGCACAAGCATCAAGTCACTGGGTCCATGTCTTTTTTTTTTTTTTTCGGAGAGGTTTTTGCCATAGGGCACATGCGCTCACCAGACAGAGACAGAGAGACAGAAAGCGAGAAATCACCCCCCCAGGGGGGACGGCCACGCCACAATCCCTTCTCCTCCATTCTCCTCTCAGGATCTGGGTTTGATTCCTGGTCCAACCTAAAGGCTGGGCACTCTGGTGCACATCTGTAATCCCAGTGACCCAGGAGGCTGAGGTGGGAGGACCAGAACATGGTGAAACTTTGCCTTTAAAAAAAAAAAAAAAAAAATGACTGAATCTAATCAAGGGAAAACTTTAGGTAAATCCAAATCGAGGGGAAATCAACAAATATTAAAAACTGGCCTGAAAACTCTTCAAAAATGTCATCATGGAAGATAAATGACTGAGGAATGTTCCAGATTTAAGGAGACTAAAGATACTTGACAGCTAAATACATGGTGTGCCCCTGGACTACATAAAGGGTGTTCATAGGACAAACTGGAAAATTTGATTGTGGTTTGTAGGTTAGAAAAATAATCATGTCAATTTACTAATTTTGATCATAGTACTATGGTTGTATAAAAGAATGTGCTTATTCTTAGGAAATGCATGCCAGAGCATTTAGAGGCAAAGGGGCATAAATGTTTGCAACTTACAAACATTTCATTTAAAAAAGTACACTGGCCACGCGTGTGTGTGTGTTCAAGATTCCAAGAGGAGAATGGAGGAGAAGGGACTGCAGCATGGCCATCCTCCCTGTGGAGTGATTTGTTGCTCTCTCTCTCTCTCTCTCTCTCTCTCTCTCTAACAAGCACATGCACCCTAGAGCAAAAATCTCTCTAAATAAATAGATAAGAGATAATCAGGGTAGGGGCTGGCAGGTGGCATAGTGGTTAAGGCGCTGAACTCCCACATAGGGGACCATGGTTCGAATCCCAGACCCGGGGGCTTGCTCTCTCTCTCTCTCTCTCGTCAAACTGAAGAAGAAATAAAATTATTATTTTTTTAAAATAAATAATCATGGTAAACATCACCCAAATCAAACCTGGAACAGGCTGGAAACCTCAAGGCTTCGAGTTCTAAGCCTACCATTTGAGTCTGGGAGAATCAGACCTTTCTCCACAGCAATGCCTCAATCAGCTGGGCCGGGATGACACCTGGCTCCCGTCCCTCGGCTCCTCTGGACTGAACAATCGATCATAGCTGTGAAGTTGGGACGTTTCCAAACAGGCCTTTCAGTCGGGAACTTACTTCCCGCTCTGTAATAACAGGAGTCTAAGGGAGCCTGTGCTCCTGCTCCAAATGAGAGCATATCCAACCTGCCCACAAAGCCAATCAAAATCTGCACCCAGCCCCGCCTGGCAGGGTACCTGCTCTTCCTCAATCCTGCGCTGTAGTGTTTCAATATAATGCTGGACGGCCATGTAGATAAATCGGTACTGTGCTTCTGTCTGGACCATCCCTGACCTCTGGGACCGCACCATCTGGATGGTTTTGGGAACGTCGATGTCACAGTCGACACCTACAAAGCAAACACCACGAAGTGTCAGGAGAAACTCAGAGCTGAGCTGAAGTTGTTTCATGCACAGACTCAGAGATAAGCAAATCTGGTCGTTATGTGCTACCCGGATGTTCCAAGGGCTACAGCGCTCTGACTTCTGATCAGCACCCATGATCCTGGAAGAGTACAGGAGAAAGTGCCAGGGGTCAGGATTCCCGCACTGCCCAATAGCCCTACGCCTCCCTGGATGCAGGTATTAAGTAGGGACCACTGCTGCATGCACCAAAGGCCACAGGTGGGGCTCCACAGCTTCTGGGCTTCTGCTCACGCCAAAAACTCAAACAGCATCACTTCTCTTCTCAGGCAAACATATTGAAAATGAAAGTTTTCGGGACCAGGAGTTAGCATAATGGCTATGCCACTGGCCTCCCATGCAGTCAACTGCGGTTCGCGTCCTGGACCCGGTGGCTTAAAACTCACACCAGGAGAGTGAGTGTGTGTCCCCAAGATCCCGAGAGGAGAATGGAGGAGAAGGGATTGCAGCGTGGCCATCCCCCGGGGGGGTGATTTCTCGCTTCCTGTCTCTCTGTCTCTCTCTGTCTGGTGAGTGCACGCGCCCTGTAGCAAAAACCTCTCCAAAAAAAATAAGAAGAAGAAGAAAAGAAAATGAAAGTTTTCAGGCTCGATTTTTGTGAATATTTTCTTCATGTTCCAATTCTCTCCCCCAGGCTATTCTCACTAGCATTTTCCTTCCCTAAACTAAAAGCAGGAGCTGCCATTTCTTGTCCTCCAGATGACCTACCTTTCTCTCTGATAATGTCAATCAGGATGTCAATCACGATGAATGTTCCTGTCCGGCCAATTCCAGCACTGCGGGCAAAGGACAAAAAGCAGAGACTTCGGAGTCATTCATAGAGAGTTTCGTATTTAAAAACAAGCTATGGACAGAAACAATGTCTGTTTAGGGGAGTATTTATAAGATATTTTTAAATTTCTATTTGAAAATATGTCAGCAGAGAGCAATAGGGCTTTGGAGTCAGCCCAAACTACACTTGAAGGACAGTTTTTCCAGGAGACAGTACACCTGGATGCAAGCCCCTTACCCTCGCTGACCCTCAGTTTCCTCATCTGTGAAATGAGAACAGTGCGTGCTGTCAGAGGTGGTTGTTGTGAGGATCAAATGTGAACATACGGAAAACACTGAGCTCAGAGGCTTGCACAGAGCGAGTTCTCAGTAGATGGCAGCTTTTACAAAAATTAAACAAATAAAAGTTTCACACACATCTACTTATCCAACACGTGGGTAAGACATAGGAAACCAAGCCAGGTGTGATGGCGTGCAGGTGCAATCCCAGCTACTCAGGAAGGGGAGGCAGAGGATGACAAGTTTGAGGCCAAGTTAGGCAACAAAGTGAGGACCAATCTCCCTCCAAAAAAGATTTAGGAAACCAAGCTTTTCCCATATAATCTTGAGGCTCAAGAGTGAGTACCAGTAGTTAAAACCTCTGGTGCAGAGGCCAAAGCACAGCTTCCGTCAGAGGCCCGTGTGGGCCTTTGATCTGCTTCAACTGAAATCTGTTGAAGTAAATAGTATCTTATTTGCATGGTAGAAGTGAAAATAATCACATCAAAAAGATGAATCCTAAATTACTACATTTAAAAAAGAAAATAAGGGCCAGCAGATGGTGGGGAGGTTAAGGTGGCTAGATTCCACATGGGTAATTTTGCAGTTCAAGTCCCAGACTTGGTGGCTTGAAGATCACACTGGGCATGTGCGTGCATGCCCAGAATCCTACGAGGAAAGTGAAGAAGGGATTGTGGTGTGGCTATCCCCTCAGGGGTGATTTCTCACTTTCCCTCTCTTTCTGAAGCAAGTACACACACCCTGTAGCAAACTAAAAGAAGGAAAGAAAGAAAAAAAGGTCCAGCTTCAATGCAGATAGTGACATACTAATATACAGTGCTGGAAGCTACACGGGCAATCACAGGTTCAAATCCCAGGTCAACCTAAAACATGCCAGGTATGCAGACATGACCAAGATCCTGACTAGCTGGAAGGCTGGGGAAAACAAATAAAATTAAGTTAAAGAGAGAGAGAGAGAGAGAGAGAGAGAGAACCAAACAAAACTGACTAGACTGAGAGATCCTTCTGACTAAGGACCATGTCCACCCCATTCTATTACTGTAATACCTGGCGGGCCTGTAGGGTCTATGAGAAATATACTTTAAGGTCGAAATATCCTTTAATGCAATTGATCCATGCCTCAACCAAAGATTAACTTTTTCTGCAGGTCAAGGGTTGGAGTCGGTTGGTGAAGCCTGCATGCTAGGAGGTGGGGACTGTCACCTGCAGTGCACCACAACTGGCCCTGCGTCCATGATGCTCTCCTGTTTATGGTGCACCTCCTCTAAGAAGTCCAGCACACCTCCAGGGTCACTGGGCACTCCGTGGTCCGGCCAGGTCCGAAAGTGGTACTGCCAGACCGTTCTCTCCGTATTCCCCTGGAGTAGAGCCAAGAAAAACCAGAAAAGAATTAAATAAATCAAGGGGTTGGGGACTCAGCTGGTGTGCGCTCTCCTAGATCCCATAGGAGCCAATGGGACCTGGCAGGTATGGGATCACTTAACACACCATTTGAACCCTCTTTACATTTCTCCTCAGCCTCTGGCTAAGATCAAGTACAAAGTCCTATCAACTGCTTCTCAGCCTTCTGGTTAAGGTCAAATGCAAAGGTCTTCTTGACCAATTTCCCAGAGCTCTTCTGGCTGGGCAAGCCTAGAAGCAACTCTGCCTCTGCCACAAGAACTCAGATGTCTGGTATAGCAATGTATCTGTTCTTTTGGGTAACTACAACCTAACTTACCTTTGTGAATATCCATGGCATAATGTCCCCACCCCTCCCCATTCATGTGGCACTCAACTCATGAGGCAACTGAGGCCTAGAGATCCAGAACTTTCCTCCTAGCAGAGGAACAAACAGGAATTCCCTTAAGATGCTGTTCCTCTTTGTCGTCTTTTATACCCAGCCCTCTCTACCTCAAACACATAGTTTTATTATAGTATCATTATTGTTTGAACTTTTATTCAGTGCAAAGCAGATAACACAGACTTTGTGATCAGATGACTAGACTGTGGATCAAATCCCTGATACTCACACTCCCTGTGCCTCTTGGACATCTCTAAGCCTTAATGTCTCCATCTGCAAAATGGGAATAATAGTATCTCTCCTACAATACAATTATGAGGATTGAAGGAGCTCACTGAAACACTCTGCCATTGCCCAGCAAACATTAAGAGACTCAGCACACTGTAGATATTTTGAAGACAGTAATAATTAATAAAAGCCAACAATGGTACCAAGACTACAGAAGACCAAAAAGCACGCTTCTGGGGCTATCCAGATTAGGTCATCCTAGCAGCACCGCTCATGGCTACATCTCTTTCATGTATCTCTGGAGTCAATCAAGATAGTGTTAGTGGGAACCAGCAGTTAGCGTAATGGCTATGTCGCTGGACTCCCACGTAGTCGACCACGGTTTGCGTCCCGGACCCAGTGGCTTAAAACTCACGCCGGGCGCATGTGCGTGCGTGCCCAAGATCCCAAGAGGAGAATGAAGGAGAAGGGATTGCAGCGTGACCATCCCCCCGGGGAGTGACTTCTCACTTTCTGTCTCTATGTCTCTGTCTGTCTGGCGAGCGCACGCGCCCTATAGAGAAAAAAATCTCTTGAAAAATAAAAACAATAAAAATTTTAAAAAATAATAAAAATAATAATAAAAAAAGATAGTGACTTTTTTTTTTAAAGAGAGAGAATTTTTGCTATAGGGTGCGTGGACTCACTAGAGACACAAAAAGAGAAAGAGACAGGGAAATTTCTTCTTCATTCTCCTCTCAGGGTTTCGGGCACACACACACATGTACCCAGCATGAATTTCAAGCCGCCAGATCTGGGATTTGAACTGTAGTTGACCATGGAGGAGTCCAGTGCCTTAACCACTACGCCAACCTGCTTGCCCCATGTTAATGACATTTTAAAAGTGATTTTTGGGCTAGCCAGTGGCATGGTGGTTAAGGGAGCTGGATCCCACATGACCAATGATGTGGTTCGAGTCCTGGATCTGGTATCTTGAAAGACATGCCAAAATGCTGAAGAGATGAGATGGAGAAGGGAATGTGACATGGCTATCCCCCTTGAGGGGGGATACTGTCTCAATTTCCCTCTTTCTCTTTCTCATTCCAGTAAACATGTGTGCCCTCAGGGAAATAAATAAAATTTTAAAATAAAAAATAAAAGGGATTTTTTAAAATATGAGAAACAGTAATTAAGACCTGTATCCCCCACCAGTGAACTTTAACACATCTAAGGAGTCTGAAGCACAATTACGTTTTGTTGATTTAATTTGCTGATGTTGTGGGCAAAAACTCCCTCGATGTTACTAAGGGACCTAAACATCAAGTGTCTAAATGGATTACAAACAGGATGGGCAAGGAAGGAGACTCTGGCCCCTGCCTCCACCCTCCCAAGCCACCATTCTTAGTAAATGGTCAGTGAGGCCTCTGCCCTACCGGCTCCTTTCTAGGCAGACAGGAGGCTTCAATGAGATCTCTGACAGCACTTTAGAAAAACATGTAAGCCTCTTTTCCGGCTGGAACCATGGAGGGTGTTCAAAAGGAACAAAAGAAGGTTCCTGCTGTGGCAGAAACTAAGAAAAAGGTTCCTACAGCGCAGAAGCCACCAAGAAAAAGGTTCCTGCTGTGCCAGAAACCCTTAAAAAAAAGCAAAGGAATTTGGCGGAGCTGAAGATGAAGCGTCTGAGAAAGGGAGCAGAAGTGGCCTTGGAGGTGACTGGCATCACTAAAAGTCCATGCTCACCACCTGGGCTGGGCACTCGGCACTGCCCAGGAACTTACGGAGTCTCCTGGCCTCTTTACATGGTTACTATTTCACATGCTTCCCACTTCTTCAAATATCCCTTCTCTTGTTAGTCCCTTCAACTCATGGCCCCGCCTCCCGCCTCGAAGAGAACACATAGAAAACCCCTGTCGGCTCACTTCACTGCACCTGGGGCCACCTTCGCCTCTTCCCCACCTGTTGCCATGGAGGACACCCCTCCACTCACGACCCCAGCTCTGGATCCAAGCTCCCCTCCTCATTCAGCCTCAGCTTCCGTCTCTGACAATGCACTTCCATGTCTCAAAGGCACCTCACAGCTCAGCCCACAAGGAGGTTCTTAATCGTCCCTCTCTCTGTAAACCCACTGTGATGCCCGCACTTCTCAAGCTAAACTGCAGGTTATCCGAACACCACCCTCGCCCCTTGTTCACTCTGTCATCAAAGGCCTCCAGTCACCTCCACTTTGATCTCGGGCTGGCCCTCTTCCTTCCTGCATCCCGGCCACCACCCTGCCATCTTTCCCCCAGGTAACTGCAGTAGCCTCCTGCTCGGCCCTCATCCGAGACCAGCTGATGCCACACTCTTGTCCCCTCTGATCACTAACAGAGTGCAGGGTGATTTTTTAAAAGCTCCAATCCAACTGTAGCTGCTGACTGCACTGTGGATAAAGCCCTGGGCTGCCTCTCCTGACTCGGTCCCCCAGACACATGGTTCCCTTTGCTTAAGAACATCCGCTCCCTAGACACACACACAAAACCCGGCCCTTTCCCTTCGCTGCCCTGACTAGTTTGGAACGATGTAGTTACAGGAGAGATGACTGGGCTAGAGGATGAGGCCCGTGGAGGGTGAACTCAGAAGGGCAGGGACTCTGTTTTATTCCCTTACTCCATTTCCAGCAAACAGCGTGTTATCACGAACCGAAAGGTCGTTCGGCAACTATCTCTGAATGAATAAATGGATGTCCAAATGCCCAGTGGACATCTCTACTCAGGCGTCCAGCTAAGTACATCCAACACCACTTCTTCCCACTTCCCTGACGGCTGCCACATCGCCACATCCACTCAGACTCCACACACCACAATGCACTGGCTCCCTCCTCTTCTGCAACAGCCAAACTAGCCCCACGCCCTGTACACTTGACCCACGGGCTTCTCCTGCATCTGCTGTTCTCTTCCAGTTTATTCCAGCATTTTATATAATAGTCACTTCCAGAGGAAGAAATAAAAAGTAAAACAAGAAAGAGCAACCACTGAAGTCTCTGGAACTACGGAAAGAAGGCCATCAACCGACACCATTGCTAACGTCCCGCACACGGTCACCCCGTCGCACTCTCCCCTGGCACACGGCTCTGCACATGCTCACTTGCTACAACACCACTGCAGGTTCCATGCAGACCGACGAATATAGTTCGAATTTCTTATTACGCTAGTTAAGACTCTTGCCAACATGGTCTCGACCTCGCATCACCCCGTTTATACCCTCCACTTACTTTTTTGTTCCCTCTTAATCCAACTTTCCTACAGTTTATACTTTAATACCACAGCTCAAATACCTCCTCCATCTGGAGGTCCTCTCCCACCATCTTATCCCACAAAAACTCCACCCTGAAAGGCCCGGTCTCTCCTAAGACAGTCCTGTTGTGAGGTCCCAGCCTTTCAGTACGCTGGCCTGTGTGCTGCAGCCCGTGCCTGCTCTGCAGCTGCGACATGATGTGACTCCATGAGGACAGAGGCAGTTCCCTTCATCTTTACATCCTCAGAAGACCTGGAGTAAGTGAGCTCCTTTAAACATGAAATGAAAAGAAATCCAAATCCAATCCTGTTTAGTTCTGTGAAGTTGGAATCAGTCCTGAACTAGTATATAGATGCAATGAAGATCTGATGCATGGAATTTGGTCATGGATACGCCTCAGGGCCTTTGCACTTGCTACTCTCTGCTTCCCTGGAAGCTGGATGTCTGGCTCCTCCCCCTTCAGGTCTCGGCCCAGTGCCATCCCCTCACTAAGGTCCTCCCTATCTACTGTGTCTCAAGTACCTGCTCTTGAACATACCACCTACAGCCTTTACAGACCGAGCACAATCAGAAGGTTGAGCTGGTTACTTCCTTTGAAATCTCCAATGCCTAGCTGTTCACAATGCACCAGTGATGCCTGAACTGTACCTGTCACCCTGAACGGTACCTAGTGCGTACAAGGTACCCACTAAATGGCTCCTGAATGGATGAGTGGGTGAACACAAGAATGCAACACGTGAAAGTGACCGCGACGACTGGACCACCACCGACCATACACAGGTACCAAGGCTAAAGTACGACAATATACTTACTTGTCCGACCTTGGAGAGTTTAAGTTCCCTTAACGTGTAGTCATGCGCAGCACTTTCTTTGACATTCCTAACACGCATGACCCCATATTCTTTCAGTGAGTACTCATCGGGCCAGTACTTGACACATTTACTCTGGAAAAGATCAGAGACAAGACAGTTAATCTCCACGAACTCAGAAATAAAAGCCTACCAACGGCTAAGAAATAATCAAATCGTGCTGAATGACCACTAACGTGGAAAATGGCTTCTTTAGCATCTACTACGTTTTTCAAAGAAAAGGAAAGAGAACTTCAGATAAGAAGAGCAGGTGCTCTTGGAACCAGACAGAGTGAGAAGGAAAAGCAGGGCTGCAGAGCTGTCAGAATGAGTCACATGTCAGAGGGGAGTCCATGCTTGTCTATCTGTCACTGAAGAGCCAACAATAGGGGCCAGGTGGCTGCACAGTGGCCAAGCAACCAGACCCACCTGAGGAAGAGTCCTGGGTTTGCCTCCCGGAGCCTCCCTGAGCACTGCAGGTACCTGCATGCCCATGATCCAGGCCAGCTGAGATGGAGCAGACCATGAGGACTCTGTTGAGAATGCCTGTCTGTCTGTCTCTGTCTCTCTCATGAAAGAAATGGATAAACTTAAGAAAAGAAGTAAAGTGCCAGGAGTTGGCATGGAGGTTAAGGCACTGGATCCCCCACATGGCCAATTCCATGGTTTGGGTCCCAGAACCAGCAGCTTGAAAAACATGCCAGGTATAGGTCCCCCAAATCCCAGGAGAATGGATCCCTCTCTCCGGTGAAGGCACAAGTCCTAGGACAAAAATCTAAAAAAGAAAAAAAACAAAGATGCAAAGAGGGAGGGAATCAGCCATTTTTGCTCTCTAAAACCAACTACCTTCTGTTTCCATGGCACCAGCAGATGGCATAATGGCTACATCACTGGACTCCCATGTAGTCAACCGCGGTTCAAATCCTGGACCCAGTGGCTTAAACTCACGCCGGGCATGTGTACGTGGGTGCCCAAGATCCCAAGAGGAGAATGAAGAAGGGACTGCGGCGTGGCCATCCCCCCTCGGTGATGATTTCTGTCTCTCTCTCTCTCTGTCCTTCTGGCAAGCTCATGCAACCTATAGCAAAAACCTCTTCCCCCACCCCCGAAAAATAAATAAAACCAACCACCAAGTTTAGAATTCTAGAAATCTGCCAGTCACTCTGCAGGGAAGGCAGGCAGAACTCTGGAGGTGGATGGGCTGCCCAACGAGACAGACTGCCTGGTTCGTTCCCGCCTCGTATAGGAGGACTCCGAGGCTTACCTAACCCAAGTGTGAAGCACTCTATCACAGAAGGCAGCCTCGGGTTGGCACCGGCTGCCTTTTCTATATCTGAACCCATATGATCCCCACTACCACATCACCTTCCCTAGACTGAGTGCTGGGAACAAGTTTGCAATAGCTGCAGGCTGCAAGAACAGGCAGACTGAAAACTACAGCACCAAGAAAATCATTCTTGCTGCCAAGAAGTGAGTTATTCCACTCAATGGGAGATGAGTTTGGTGATGTGTCCTGGGTAGAGAATGGTTTTGTGTTTTTGTTTTTGTTTTTTTCCAGGAGCGATCACCACATCTCATTTTGTAAAATCACGAAGACACAGATATCAAAGTGAGAATTTTTCCTTGTATATTAGGAAGACAGAAATTTACAGTTATGAAATTAGCATTAAGAGAGCAGCTGCAGGGGCCAGCAGGTGGCGTGGTGGTTAAAGGCGCTGGACTCTCATATGGCTGATGCAGTTCAAGTCCTGGATCTGGTGGCTTACTTTTTTACTTTCCTTCTCTCTCTCTCTCTGATCAAACTGGAAAATAATAATAAATAAAGTTATATAAAATATTTTTTAAAAGAGAGAAAGCAGCTGCCAAGGCTAGCCCTGCAGTGCAGTGGTTAAGTACTGAGCACAGAATTCTGGATCCCACATGGCCAACTGTGGTTCAAATCCCAGTCCAGAGACTTGGAAAACACACTGGGCATGTATGTGCGCATGGCCTAAATCCTGACAGGACGGAGAAACTGGGGGAAAGGACTACAGTGTGACCACACCCCACTGAGAGGCTCCCTCTCTCCCTCTGGTGAGTGCACAAGCCCTCTGGCAAAAACAAACAAAAAAAAAGCTAAAGATATCACCACAGTCGGTCGAACAAAAAAATGTATTTTAGGAGGAAAGTTTGATAGAAGAATGTGGTCCTTTATTCATTATTCTGAATTCAGTGTCCCCCTCAGTATTTGATAGGTCCAAATACTACTCTGACAGACCTGACACAATTTTAATTTTCCCCGAATAAACCCTTTTATATTAATTGTAGTCAATGCTATTACCGGCCAGTCAGTTCTAAGCACTGCTCCTGATGACCCTAGAGAGCTCCACCCAGAACACAAATAAAGCATGACTCTGAAAAGAACATCTTAGCTGACTTAAATGTCACAAACTGGCCCAGCCGGTAGCAGGCTAAACTGCAGTACTGCACGCAGTGTGGCCAACCGCGGATTTGGACCCAGAGCCTGGCTGACCTGGAGTACGTGGGGTGCGAGTGCAGGTGTACCCAGGATCCGGCTGAGCCAGAGGGCTGGGTGAAGGGGATCACGGCATCGGAGACGCTGCTGACGGTGCTCCTCTCTTCCTCTCTCTCTCCCCCTTTCCCCAACTCCCTTTCTTAAGGGCATGCAAGTACATGCACTTTCCATCATTCATTAAAAAATAAATAAATAGACAACACCTGCAGACTGCTGCACCCTCCTCCCAGCTGTCCAGCTCTCATGTAAATCTAGGCCAGCAAATCCTGAACTGTGAAGGCTAACGTGTGATCTGCTGAACGAAAGCCCAGCCATCGAAGGAGGTCCACACTCGGCTTTTCCCCCATGCAGGGATGGGATATGGAGACTAGGTTATCAGAAAGGCCTGGGAGAGAACGAAAGTCCACCAGCTCAACTTCTCTGCACCCGCACAAGAAGAGAGGGTGGGAAGCAGGCAGAGGCGGGGAGGGATAGAGAGAAGCGGGCTGGTGATACGGCCACGCCCGTTCTGCTTCTGGCAGCTCTTCTGAAAGGGACTGACACTGATTCCTCTGCGGCAACCAAGGACCTTTGCTCCACAGCTCCCAAGGCCTCTGAAAACAGCAGGCCTCCAACAACTCCAGTCAGGCAATGGCCTCACCCTTTCCACATTTGAGGCAGGTTAACACTTGCCTGAAGCAGACACTGTGAAGACATTTTTTTGGTTTTTTGTTTGTTTGTTTGTTTTAAGAGAGATTTTTTGCTACAGGGCATGTGCACTTGCCAGAGAGACAGATAGACAAAAAGCGATCCCTTCTCCTCCATTTTCCTCTCAGGATTTTGGGCACGTATGCACATGCTCCCGGTGTGAGTTTTAAGCCAATGGGTCCAGGATTCGAACCACAGACCTGGTGGCTTGTTTTCTCACTTTCTTTCTCAATATGTATCTCTCTCTGGTGAACACACATGCACTATAGCAAACCTAAAAAAGAAAAAAAGTAATAATAAATAAAACTAAAATTAAAAAAAACAAAAAAACACCCTAACCAAGCCAGCAGTTGGCATGGAGATTAAGGCACCTGAATCCCACGTGGCCAACTGTGCAGTTCAAGTCTCAGGCTTGACTTGAAAATCACTCCGAGTGTGTGTGGGTGTGTGCCCAGAATCCCAAGAGGAGGAGGAGTGCAGTGTGCCCATCTTTCCAGGGGGTGATTTTACACTCTCCCTCCGCTCTCTCCCTGGTGAGTGTATATGCCATATAGCAAGTAAAAAAAAATTTTTTTTTAATTGAGGATTATAAAGTTGGCCCTGTAGCCTAGCGGTTAAAGGAGCTGGATCTCACAAAACAAACCTTGGTTTGAGTCCCAGCCTTGGTGACTTGAAAAACACACCAGGGGAACCAGCAGTTAGCGTAATGGCTATGTCGCTGGACTCCCACGTAGTCGACCGCGGTTTGAGTCTTGGACCCAGTGGCTTAAACTCACGTCAGGCACGTGTGCGTGTGTGACCATCCCCCTGGGGGGGGTGATTTCTCGCTTTCTATCTCTCTATCTCTCTCTCTGTCTGGTGAGTGCATGCACCCTATAGCAAAAACCTCTCAAAAAACAAAACAAAACAAAAAAAAACACACCAGGCATATGTGCATGTGAGCCCCAAATCCCAACAGGATGGGAAAATGGAGAAGAAATTGTGACAGAACAATGCTCCACTGGGAAGTGGCTTTCTCCGTCTGTCTGTCTTTGGGTAATGTGTGCACCCTCTGGCACTCAGAAAAGGAAAAAGAAAAAGAAAAAAGAAAGACATCACATAGCATACCTTCCCTCTCTCTACTTCTTTTGTTGTCATGACAATCACTCGCGAGTTCTCCTGGAACACCATCCGCCAAAAGTCGTTTACCGTGTTTTGCAGGCAGCCTTGTGTGGCGATATAACTCTTCTTAGGCTTTGAATTGTTGCACTTGGTTTCAAATTCAGGCTAGAAATTTAGGAAGCAAATCTTTTAAACATCAGAAAGTTGCTAGCAAGATACTAGTAAGAATTTAAAATATAAAAATGGGCAGCAATGCTGGGTCAGAAAACACTGTAAAAAGCCAAGTTTACCATGATAATATTCGCATTGATGTAATCGGAAACAGGCTCGTTGGGATCACCATCATGCAGGACGACCCTGGTATGATCAACTGGAAGGAAAAGAGGCCACAGTCACAGAAGTCCCCAGACCGCTTCAGAAGGAGTTCAAATCATTCATCCACAGCCTAGTTCAAGTTTTCTTGATTAAATGAAAAGAGCCACATAAAATATAAAACTCCAAATAAGCACAATAGCAATTTGAATACCATGCTGTCTCGTGTTGTTTTCCTCACAATTTCTTGGTTCTGCTTATATGTGTGTGTGTGTGTTTTTTTTCTTTTTTGGGGGAGAGATTTTTGCTATAGGACGCATGAGCTCACCAGAAAGACAGAGACAGAAAGCGAGAAATCACCCTCCGGGGGAATGGCCACACCACAATCCCTTCTCCTCCATCATTCTCCTCTCAGGATCTTGGGCACGCACACACATGTACCCAGCCTGAGTTTAAGCCAGCAGGTCTGGGACTCACCAGGTCGGCCACGTGGGTGTCCAGAGTCCCAACCAACAGTTTGTCTGTTTCACAGACGAGGAAAGTGAGTCCCAAAAAGGAGGCGTGCGCAACTCAGGAGTCATGGGCCCTCAAGGAGGAGACCTGGACCCCCAAGGCTCCAGGTGTGGCCTAACACCCAGACGATAAGCTTTGAGACTATCACTTAGGCAAACGGAAAATTCATTCTCAGAAGCAAATGACCACAGACAAAGCCTCCCAGTGGCAGTTTCGCTCAGTACCCAGCATCACGAAAACTCATGAATGAGACCATCAATCCCCACTATGGCTGATGATTTTGGCAACAGCTCGCAACTGCAGAGGTTAAGCCCAGGATCTGCTAACAAGACAGTGAGGCCCAGGGAAAGTTACAGGGACACGGTGACTGATACTTACAGGGCAGAATGTTTTTATATCTATTTTTATTTTTATTTTCTTGCCTCTGACCCTCTTTTCGGCTATAGAGAAGTTTACACTCCTGTTGTTGTAGTGTCTAGAAAGAAAAAAAAAGTAAACAATTATTACATATCAAAAGCTCCAAGAATAAATAAAAGGGGAGGGAAACAAAAAGCCTGACTCGGCATTTCTGTTTTAGATCGCTTATCCTAGGGGCCAACTCCATGGTGCAGTAGTATTGCACCGTTGAAGAGACGCTAGATCCCACATGGTGACCGAGGTTTGAATCCCCGGTGTGGTATACCAGGAGATGTCCAGAGTCATGTGCAATATCTACAAGAAAACTCATCCATATCAACAGTGGCAAAAAAGACCAGAAATGACATAAATGTCCCATAAGAAAGTGCTGCCTATATAAAACTATCGTTCATTCACACGAAAGAATACTTTATGACCATTTAAAAAGATGTTCTAGGAGAATATGCACTCTCTTAGAAAGAAGATTAAAGTTTGAAAAGAAAGTCAAATTTCCCAAACAGTGTATGACATAAGCTCTGTGTTTGCATTCACCTGGCCACAGAAAAAACTGGCAGGATAAATACTGAAAAGGTAATGCAGATTTTTTTCCCAGCGTAATGAAATTTATAAGGTCCTTTTTTAAATTTTAAAAAAAATCCTTCTTCCCTAAATTTACTATAATAAATACATAGAATATTTATAAGAAAAACCTTTTAAAATAACAGTTATTAAGAATTAAAGCCTGGAGGGACCAGCAGATGGCATAATGGTTATGTTGCTGGACTCTCATGTAGTCAACTGCGGTTCGAGTCCCAGATCTGGTGACTTAAACTCACGCCAGGTGTGTGTGCATGCATGCCCAAGATCCTGAGAGGAGAGTGGAGGAGAAGGGATTGTGGCATGGCCATCCCCCTGGGTGATGATTTTTTACTTTCTGTCTCTCTATGTCTCTGGTAAGCACATGCACCCTATAGCAAAAAAAACCTCTCTAAAAAGAAAGCCTGGGACCAGCAAATGGCACAGCAGTTACATCACTGGACTCCCATATGGCTAACCGTGGTTTGAGTCTGGACCTGGTAACTTGAAACTCATGCTGGGTACAGGTGTGTGTGTGCCCAGGATCCCAAGAGAAAAATGAAGGAAAAGGAACTGTGGTGTGGCCATCTCTCCCCAAAGGGGGTGATTTCTCTCTTTCTCCCTCAGTCTCTGCCTGTCTCTCTGGTCAGCACACATGCTCTAAGGCTAGAACCTCTATTCCCCCCACGAAAAGAATGAAAGACAACAAGCATTAGTACAGAGTATGCATATAATAGATGCAATCCACATTCTTTTATCATTGATTAATTCAGAGCAGGTCAGTTCTGGAATCTGGACACTGGAGGACAGCAGAAGTGGTCTTGGTGCCACTGGATGGTAGGGACACAACCTCTGCTGGCAAAGTTTTGGAGCCCCCTTGCCAGAAACCCAAGTTAGTGCACAGGCAGTCGGCCTGCACCCACAGATACCCGCTCTATGATGTTTTCCCCAGAAAAACCTGGCAAGTTTAAACAAATTCAAGGAGCCAGAGAGGAAGGAGAGTGCTCAGGCTTTTCATGCAAGCAATCCAGAAGGATACCTCTGCAGGAAAAGGAAGTGAGGAAAGAGAACAGGGAAACGCAGACTAAACCAGGCAGCCCCAGAGGGTTTGCCCCCACAAGGGGACTTGCAGGAGGAGAGAGAAGGACCAGCTGGAGAGTCAAACAGGTAGATGAACATGTCAGGCTGGAGCATATTCAAGGAGCAAGTTTCATTTTCACAATTACAGAAAGTGCCTCTTCAAGGGGCCATCAGTTTCCAATAAGCCTTTAACAGGAAACCACAAAGGGGGGGAATCAAGAAAGTGAAAGGCAAGATAAAAGGGGAAAAAACAAGGTTTTATATATAAAATGCCAAAATGGCTAGCCTTAAGGATTCCTACAAGAAACAGAGTTCAAGTTTTGCAACACAGTCAGCCCTGTTTTATTTTCATTTCATTTATCTGAATTTCACAGTCAGGTATAAAAGTCCAAACTTCAAATTGGTATTTGACTCTCAGTTTCAAAATGCAATATTCAGCCTCGACACACAGCTCAGAGCGAAAGTGTTTAGCTAGCTGAAACTTGGACAGAAATGAAAAACAGTGTATGTAAAATTCTGACAACGAAACGGTCAGATTTCTTTAAACAAGCTCAGATTAAGTAAGGAAAGCCGTCTGCCTACTCCCGGCGGGCATCCCACCCAACTGTCAGGCAAAGCGGGTGATGGTGCTGTGCTGGGAAGAGGGCTCGATCCTGATTTTCAGACAGGTCATCGAGGTGATGAGGTTCAAAGGGAAGTTCAAACACTGAACTGAATCAATTACTTAAAAATCAACCAAGGGAAGTGAAACAGCAACGAACAACTACAAAGGAAGAGAGTGGGGGTTAGAAAGTATGAGCAGTTTGACTTAAAACAAACTTGGTGGTAAACCATTCAGGGCTCCACTTACGAACCAGCTTCACGTGACACTTCCCTTGTTGGGGGCACGCGACCAAGGCGATGGCTATACAAGGTGAATTTCCCCTAGTCCACCCTCGAGCCTCTTCCTCCAATATCAAGTCCAAGCTTTTTAGTACAGTACCAAAGGCCTTATTAGCTCTGAACTAACGGGCCTGCCTCTAATCCCAGCTCTCTGCCTTGCCAAGTTTCTCAGCCTGATGTGCCTCAGTTTCCTCAGACGTAAGAGCCCCGCAGGGCTGCATAAGGGTCAAGTGTGATAAGTGCAAACTGCGAACAGTGCCCGGGCTACAGCTGATGTTCACAATGGTTTCTGAATTACTGTTCCATGAACGCTACACCCCGGCTACTCCAGGTATGGTCTGCTAGCCAGCAGCGCCAGCTCACCGGGCAGCTGATGGGCAGGCTCAAGTCCTGCCCCAGGTTGTCTCCATTCAAAATCTGCATTTTAGGGACCAGCAGATGGCATAATGATTACCTCACTCGATTCCCATGCGGTCGAGTCCCGGACTCAGAGGCTTAAAACTCACGCTAGGTGCATGTGCATGTATGTCCAAGATCCCAAGAAGAGAATGGAGGAAAAGGGACTGCAGTGTGGCCAACCCCCTGGGGGGGTGATTTCTCACTTTCTGTCTCTCTGGCGAGCACATCCACCCTATAGCAAAAATCTCTCTCTCTAAAAAAGAAAAAAAACGTTTGTTTGTAGCAAATAAACTCATACTTTAATTCTATTTTTTTTTTCTTTCCCCAAAGGGTGCATGTGCTCACTAGGAAGAGAGAAAGGGAAAGTGGGAAATCACCCTCTGGGGGGATGGCCATGTCACTATTCCTACTCCTCCATTCCCTTGTCAGGATTTTGGGCATGCATGGACATGTGCCCAGCATGATTTTCAAGTCGCCAGATCTGGGACTCAAACCGTGGTTGGCCATGTGGGAATCCAGCACCTTAGCCACCAGGCTACCTGCTGGCCCACTTCCATGACCTTTTTGAAGTCCTCTCCACACCCCCCCTCCCATAGCAGTACCATACCAAGAGCTTCTTCTAAGCCTCATTAAAAGGACTGGGTCAAGATTAAAAAGAAGCCTTTCTAATTCAATCTTACCCATTGTAATGGGGTAACACCATTTCATGTGAATCATCTCTCGCATGAAAGAAATGCTTGGCAAGAATAAATTCAGAGATACGGGCCAGAGAAATCCTCACTGATGCCCATGGCATCTGGGCTGGACCATCCATCAGGTTGGCCAGAGGCTTTCTTTGTCCCCTGTAAGGTTCCCAATCACCTCTTCTGCGCACACTTGGGGCCTTAACAGTCTACAGTCAAGACTGGTCTGAGCACCAGAGATGCCCACAAGCACAGGCTCAGAGCCCCTGCATCCCAGGCCCAGCTGAGTGTGCACTGCCAGCAACTGGCAATTGTCACGGATTAACAATGGCAGACGGTGGGGCTCTCTCCGGCTCCTCCCTTGTGCCCCTTAGCCCAGCCTAGTGCCTGTTAGCCACCTGAGGCCCGAGTTGCCTAAACACATTCCATTTCCCACATGGAAGGCTGCCGTCTGTCTAGAGTGAAGCTGAAGACAAAAAGGACTTCCTGAGTTGTGAGTTTCCACACTCTGCCTGCAGAGGTTCCCTAAGGGCTCCCGAGGTTGTCAGCCCTGCAACGTGCTCAGAAACTTCCTCCCCAGCCTCACGACACTAGGAGTCAGAAGAATCTCAGGAAGCCCTGGCCTCAGGGAGGATGCAATCCTGTCTGGGTAATCTCTGACAACGTCCCTCTCACCAGCAGTCCCTTGGGCACACAAAGCTAATAACCTGTCAAGCTGAATGTCACTGTGTTCATCCCCATTCTCCACTGGGCCTTGGCAGGCACGATGATACAAGGCTTGGAACAGACAGCAACGAGGACCGTGAAAAGCTGGACACAGGCTGCAGGATGCCCCAATTCCCCAAGTAATACAACCGAAGGGTTTGTACCAAACTGTGAACCCTCAAAAAGGACCAGAGAATACTTACAACCACCGGAGTGCACGAGTCAAAGCAGATCTAGAGCCAGAGACTGCATCAATGGTTAAACCTCAAACAGCATCAAGAAAAAGTCAGGGAGCACGCAGTGGCACAGGGGTAACCCAACACGCTGAGCACAGAATGGCCCATGATCTGGAGCTGGCTGAGACTTGGGGTGGATCATGGCATCAAGATCCTATTAGGGATATCTCCTCCCTCTCTCTGTCTCTCTCATTCAAGAAAGAAACTTAAAAGAGAGAGACTGTGCTTGTCCAGAGTACACCTTCAGGAGTGGCCAGCAGCACTGCTGGGGACGAGCTTTCGAACCATCTCCCATGTTTATGGCCCCTAAATAGCCGTGTTCCACCCCAGGGCCCCTGCCAACCTAAAAGCCAGCCCCCATCACTGTGGTCTCCAAAACAGAGCCCCCAGAGGCTTCTGAAGCCCTCATGGAAAACCACTGGTCCTGGCTCTTGGTCAGAATTTCACAAATAAAGTGGAGGATGAGGATCAAGAAGGGGCAGGCAACAAGCGAACTGGCAGAGCAAGGGGTTCTCACG